ACCTAGACCTCGTTGATAAAACCAGAGCAAAAAATATGTATATTGTACATGTCATGACAGTCTGCACACTCTATCTCTCTATTCCTAAGTGATGAAATATATAACTGTGTTGTCTTTTCATATGATTACTTGATAAAACTAACAAATTTCTCTTTTGTGAGAGTTTAAGGTTAGTGAATGCGCAATTTAACATAATAAACAAGCTACGATGTAACATTTTGCTCATTCAGGGAAGTTTGTTCTTAGACGAACAATGGTGTTTAAGTTGATATCTTTAATTTATACATATAAAACAGGGACACATTCTACTTATTCAAGGACGAAAATGTCAGAGTGAATGGAGTATATTCACGTTAATATTTTGTCCTTGTTTTTCCATGCATTATCATATTGTGCGTTCCTCTTTAGGTTGCTAGGGTATATGTTGCTTATACATGTACTTTGAAAGTTATTGTAATTTAATGTAACATATTTCTTTTATGTAATTATCCTAAAAAGTCATTTGGTTAACGCATACTGATCTTTTGTATTTTTCAGTCTGCAAAAGTAATTTATTTTTCATTGTTTATTATCATTACCTTTTTTCATTAGGAATCCATTCTAACAACAATTCTAGTTTTGACTGGCCAATAATTTTCCAGAACTGTTTAGGCTGACCATGTAGGAATCGACTACGAATAGGAGTGCACATACATGTAAAGAGGTGCTGCAGAAACTCGCGATCAGAAACACCTCTACGTAGAGGACTATGTTAACGGCAGGTATTCCCTGCTTCTTAACATTTTAGGTTTATATCATGCATAGTTTTTCCTCACATTGGACCTGACTGGCAACCTTTTAGTTAACATGGTTAACGTTAACCTTTTTATTTTATTGAATTTTTTAATAATGTATATCACTATTGCCATTTCGCACGAGGAAGGTTAGAACAATAAAACCACAATGGCGGGTGCACCTTGCACAACATTTAGAAAGATATATTCTGTAGACATCGTGCAAAAAATATTTGCCATGAAATAAAATGTCCCATAACAACACAGTTAGTGCTACATCCATGACATACATGTACGATTTGTTTCAAGTCAAATCTTTGCTACTAAATAACAGACAGAAAACGAATCAAACTGAGTAAACAACTGTATATGTAAAAAATAAATCATTTAAACAATACTTAACATGTATTTTTCCAGGACAAAACTGAATAAAGCATTATGTCATTAGTTTTAAGCCACAGTATATCAAGGAAAACAACTTAAGTCTGCATGTTCAATATATAGTTACTCCTTAACTTCTTGACTCTTTCATAAAATAGATATTTCATTGCATTTCCATAACAAACAAGAGGCCCATGGGCATTATAGGTCACCAGAGGATAATGTAACAACTTTCTAACAATTGAATTTTATTCGTGTTTTAAACCAGAGGCCATGAAATTCACAATTTTGAAAGAGGCAACATTGATATCATAACTATACACTTAGCTTGCTCACTTTGATTACTTTATACCCAGAGGTAGATCAAAGTAACAAAGAGAAAAGGCACTTCCACTTTATAACCAGTTGTGCACCCCACCCCAAAGGAACCACTGACCCTGGGGCCACATATTTCAAAATTCTGAAAATTTTATCATAAATTGTATTTCATCATAAATGGTAGATTAATACCAAAGAGCAGATTTCAAAACATTAATTTATTTTCAGACTATGTAACCCCCCTCAATAATCTTATTATAATAAACTAAACTCCATGATTGTTCATATCTATAAAAAAATTCAATGGAAAAAAATGTTTCTTTAATGACAGATCATACAAATAAAGAATGGATGCCTTGATTGGTATTTATTTTTTGGTCTATTTTTGTTGAAAATGATACAGATAATCAAAATCTTAAATATTAAGAAATTGTAAAGCTTTTATGATGTTCAAATTTCTACCTTTCTTCGACCATTTTTATTAATCAATAAAAATTTTTTGTCACTTCAAACTTCATTTTTGGGAGATATTGAATGAAAAATTGAAATCTTTTCGGTTATACTTGTTCATTTTACTGATATAAACAAGACTCATGTTGTTATTTTTTTCAATTGTGAAATAAACGTTTGTCTGTATCACCTGTTCTTAAATCAGAGGACGTTAAAATATCTAAAGTGCTGACATATTTCGAAACATATTTCGAATCAATATATTTAAAAAACAGGTCAGGCTTGTCCTCACCCCTATTAGAAGCTTTTGGAATGTTTCCTGCATGTTGCTGGCAGATCGAGGGCTACACTCAACACCCAAAGCCCATGGACAATTAGGAACTTTGTTTTATGTGAATACACAGAGGAGTCCCAACGTCTAACAATGACATTCGAGCTTACCAATTAAGAAAACAATATAATCTCTTAATTCCCCTGCAACCCTAAACCAACGCAGTTATCACAACATGGTGGAAATACAGTCAGACCCTTATGACATTGTCACATTTTTTCCAGGTAAAATTTTACTCTATTTTTTTTTTATTTAAAAAGCATTCAAATAGAAAATTAAGTTTAAAAAATGATAAGCAGATCATTTATTTAAAATATACCTTAAAGATAACTTTATCTGAAATTCAGCGAGTCCACTGAATGTTTTCTTTACATTTTATGTGTGATAACGCTCATGAATGCTTTAGGTCATATTACATTTTTATAAAAAATATCTCATGCAATGAAAACATCAAACTATAAATTTAGTGAATCGCATTCAGAAACATGTCTCATAAAAATAGAAAAAAATAGAAAAAAATATGTTAAAAAGGATTACATATCACTAATTTATTTAAGATACAACCGAATGATAACTAAAACAACACAAACATATTTACTAGTATGCCATTCATTGAATGGTACCAAAAGAGCATGAAAAAAATTACTGACAAGAATCTTTGACATTTAATAACTATCCGTTGTCTGCAAAAAATATTTCCATTAAAAAATCAAATGAAAATCTGTTTGATTAAACTTACGATGTGTTTCTTGTTCACCTTTAGTCCTCAATACAACACTGAATAAAGAATCTAGAGTATATTTTTAATCGTCTTTTTAAAAATACGAATAATTGATATTACAACAAATGTCTTTGATATTTTTGGAATTAATAAATTTATTTTAAAAAATGCGACTGAAATTATATTGCAAAAAGAACTGGAAATCTGCTAACTCCCTCTATGATATATTATAACTGTTTACTTATACCGATACAAATTTAAATTGTAAAGATCACCTTTTTTAAAAAATAAAATATTCATTTACATATCACCGGGTTCACAGGTGATGAAGGTCAGTCAATATATCGGGTCTCAATAGCTCAGTGGTTAGAGCGCTGTCACGGTATGCCAGAGGCCCTTAGTTCGAGTCCCGGTTGAGACTTTACTCTTTGCTACCTTGACATTTGGCACCCAACGAAATAACCCACTGTTTCCTTGGAATATGCTTCACTCATAGAAGTCGAGGACGAATTTCTACAAAGAGGGGAAATATGTCACCGGGTTCACAGGTGCATGAAGGTCAGTCAATATATCAGGTCTTAAGAGCTCAGTGGTAAGACCACTGGTACGGTACGCCAGAGACCCTGGGTTCGAGTCCTGGTTGAGACTTGACTCTTCGCTACCTGTGACATACAGATTAACTAATCATTATTCTCTTAAGTGAATAAAATCTCGCATTAACTGTCGCAAATACCAAATTAGAAGACATTTATTCCCTAATTCTAATACAATCATTGCATTTTGTTTGTTGTTATCGTCTTTCTTTGTCGCGTTTTGTTATACGAAATACGTCACGAAGCATTGTGTGTTTGCGTCTTTCTATTATGACGTCACAAAGAAAAACTATAACCGCGAATTAGCATGACTAGCTTTCGACGGAGGGGTTAGCTCAGAAAAACGAACGCACGAGGATTAGCCAATTCAGAGCGATTTCTGGGGAATTGTTAAGATCTAATCACTTAATTTTATATAGGGAATAATAAGTAGAGGTATAATAATTCATATTAAAACGACACCGTGACGCACAAACGGGAAAATTGATTGACAAACTTGGATTTTTGCAACACCCTTGCTAATTTTGTTAAATTTCTGAAAGTATTAGGTTTCAGAAAATTTCAAATTTCAGAACCTAAAAAATCTATTTTCATAAAGATTGTTGATTGATTGTATATTGTATAACGTCCCTCTCGGGAATTTTTCAATCATATGAAGACGTCACCGTATGCCGGTGTAGGGCTTCAAATTTAGACTTATACTAATTTCTAAGGGTCATTGAGCAGTGGTTTTTTTTTTAATAGTGCCGACTCCTACTATGACACGGGACCTACGTTTTTAAGGTCATAACAGAAAGACCCGTGACTTTCACTTCTAGTACCGAGCTCTTGGCGAAGGAATAGTCAATACCTTTGTTTACGTCTTAGGTATGACGCGGCGCCGCGAACGAGAATCGAATCCGGGTCTCCCTATCACGAAGCCTATTATAAAGAAAAATATATGCAAAAATATTTTTTTTGCTCAAATCTCGAAAATGTATATCGCTTTACTTCTTCTATTGTATGCGTGAAAAAAAATATTAAGGTTACAATGGCTTCAAGTACCAACATTTGAATGTTTGTAGCCCAAGAATCTTTAAAAAAGGTCCTTTTAACATATTGTTCACCTTTCCACGATCCAATTAAATGTTATTTACAAGATTAAGTTAAAAATAAAAGTTGAGTGACTGACATGCACGCCTTTACAATTTTGAATAATGATTATTTTATAAATTCTGAATAAGAAAAAAAAATCATCCTACATTTGATGCTGCTATAACTTTTCTTTTTGAATTTTTTCATGTAAATTGATATGTGGAAATATTTTGATTTCTTTAATTTGTCAGAAGGAACGCCTTTATTTGTTTAAAGATCTTGATTACATCTATCTGTTTCCTCATTATGCAACATATATACGATATGTGAGAGTTATTGCAGGTAATTGTTATCAGGAGAAGAACAGATAGCATCAATATCGAATGACTGAATATTACAAGGTACCCATGTGAGAGTCAAAGATGAAAGCCTTCATTTTATTTTACTTTCCTCTGTTTTTCCCAGTATCAGTTAATAGTGGTAAGTAGATTTTACATTGCAATATTCATTTAAATCATTATTTTGATAAAAATTATCTTTTTCATTTGCAATAATTTACTCTAAATGATTCGGAGAGTGTTTTGTTAAAATACTTAAGAGTATTGGTATTCTACCTTTAAAGTTTTCCCCAATTATTCAAGGGTGTTTTTAAATCATTGATCAATACCATCTTTGAAAAAAATGCTTGCTCTTCTTCTCCTGAATCAGGGTAAAATTATTAGGTTGGTTAAACGGAAGGTGGAATTTTTTTCCAGAATATCTAACCATGTTTATTGCAGTGATCAGAAGAATTAAAGCTAAGGAATATAGTATCTTATCCTGGAATGTAAAACAAAATTGATTCGGGCCATTGTTAGTCAATAAGGAGAGAGCAACTAAACATTGTTTTTTAAAATGGCCCAATATTCCACGTATGATTTTTGTCTATAAAAAATTTAATATTTCAAGGACAAGAAAACCCATGCTCTGAACAGGTATATAAAGAGATCCCTGATTTGCCTAGAAGAAGTCCTTCGTATTCCATGGATTCTGCTCCCCTCTGTGACTATCACCTCTCTTACGGATGGTACCGAGGAAAATATTCGAAAATGCCAACGTCTCCTCCATCATTGACCAATTGTGGGACACTTTTTCCACTCTGGTTAAATGGTAAGTTTAACAATATAAGTCTCTCAAGTTTATTTACAAAGTTATTGGAAAAAAAAAGAAAAAAAATAATAAAGATAATATTTAACATTTGATAATAATAATAAAAAAGATTAATACACAATATGTTGTATACATGTACATTAGATTTACACAGTTCCTGAAAATGACTTAAGGTGATTCCACCCTCATGATTTTATAGGTTTAAAGTACATAAACTGCATTTATTTTCATTTAAAATACATTAAACTTTCCAATTATTGCAAAAAATGTATAGGTCACCATATTATTTAAGATGCGAAAAATAAATACAGTGTAAACAGACGTGTATGTCAACATAAAAAAATCGCACATTTTTTTGTAAACAGTATTATGAAAAATATGTAAAAACTGGTTAAAATGCATAATTCTGATGCTGAGTGTTCCTAAATACTTCCTACGTAAAAGATACCTTTGAATTGTGAATATCAAGGAAACTATTTTAAAAATAAAGCAAATGCCTGAATGAAGAGACCTTGCAAGGAGTTATTGCCCTTGTCAACATTTTTTAAAGATTGAATAATTGATTAAATATAGAAAATATGCATTTTTTAAATTCTTTAACTTAACAATATTTATCATTACACCTATTGTAAAGCATTCTTTCAAGAGATATTGTTCTATTAGGTATGAATTTAAATTAATTACAGTTTTGCAAAAATCTATGACATCATAGGAGGGTAAAATTACTTTAAATACAGTTTTAACGTGTTTTAAAGAAAAAAAATACTAAGGAACGTGTTTTTCACTGGAGCGAGTCTGATTGGACAATTCATTATAATCTCAAATCATTTGTATCATATAATCTCAGCACTTTTAGAAGGCATGATTCTTTACCTCTGGTTTTTGAATAAGGCAGCATGCAGATACATTGCAAGTCAAGGATAGAATACTTCCAATCCTGATTCCATACAAACAACTCAATATTCATACTCATAGAGGAACAATAACGAAAAAGTCTTCCGGTATACTTCAGGGAAAGGAGACCATAGCTACTAGTATAACTTAACGTTAAAATTTGTCGTTATTACTCAATTTTTCATCAGTAGATTTAAAAAAAAATAGATTATTTCTCCTTCTGAAAATGCCTTTAAATTGTACGTGTTTTAAATGTAATGTCCATCGGATTAAAAAGTCATTGTGACGTAAGAAACAAAGGTTATGAATCTTTGGTCTATATTTTTGCAATGCAAAGTAGGAATACATGTTGGAATAACAAAATGCACTGAATAATCAATTCAGATAAATGCCATCCACACAGATATAATTAACATCCCTTCTGTTTCTAACGCATATACTTATTCACCCAAACATTCACCAGCCTGTTTTGCTAAAAGAGACATAGACACAGCTCTAGCTAAAAATTAAAATGTTTTTATTTAAAAATACTCAACTAAAGTGTTCTAATTATCATAAAAAATTGAGTTTCAGTTCTTCTGATATGACAGAGATTTATAGCTCCCAACCTTTGTTATATTAACAAGGGCTGTGCCATGTTTTTGTTTACATTTGTACATAAGTTAACTGCTGTATATTAATAATAATCATATGTTTGATTAAAGCAGTTTTTCTCTTTTTTAAAAAGAAGTTTATTCTTAATACGATTAGACAGTTTCTTGTTACTTACTGAACCTCGTTTTATTATAAATGTGATATTTCTATATGAAAACAAAAACAAGGCATAGGTCTTGTTTACATTATGAAGAGTTTTAAATTCTGTATCTCATTTGTAAATCAACAAATGGTGGTCAAACTTTTGCTGATCATTAGAATTGCCTTTGTTAGGAAAAGTGAACATTGAAATTGGTTTCGAAAATTTCAGTTGAAACATTGTCTATGTCCCTTTAAAGTAAATGGATATGTTAAGTTAAATTCAGAAAATATTGAAATGAGTAATAAAATTGATTGCACTTACTTCCAACTTTGAATGCAACCAGGCATTGCCTATCTGCTAGCAGCTTCTCAGCCTAAACATAGAAAAATAGAAACGGAAGGTACACATGTAGCTTTCTAATAGTTCGCAAAGAAAGGCTTGAGATATGATTTCCCTATAAATACAAGGGAGTGATTGTTTTGATTCATTATTGTAACTAGCATTTTCCGCTCTTTGTAGTCCCTTCTGAACAGATTTGTCCTTGATAAAATAGAAAACTACACCAATCGTAATTCAGTCATTAATAACGTTTAAAACTTTTCTGTTGCCTTCTGGATTACATGATTAGGCGTATTGGAACATTAAAATATTATAATAACACATTTAATAAATTACTGTAAACGTATTATATTTGGCTGTGTATTCTTTTTAGCGCTTTTGGCAGAAAGAAACTTCCGTTAGTTCAAGTACAACGCTTAAAGTCTTGTACTTGTATACATAAATAAGAACATTAAGAAAAACGCTAAATCAAATCAACACCAACTTGTACAAACATCAATTTCCGCCAAATATTGTACATGCTAAATATAAAACATTTACAGTAATTAATACAGTATACATGTATATAATATCTAATAATTCTTTTACACTTAAAATTATTACTCCATCTCAGGCACACACCCACCTGTGAATGGTATAAGTACCCTTGACGCTTGCAAAGTTGGATTTGCTAGTGAGTGTGCTGATAAGATCGAAATAGAAGTTAAAAACTGCAATACTTATATGGTTTATAAGCTACAGCCGGTGGATTTCTGTAATTCAGCTTACTGTTTTGGTAAGTTTCTTTGAAGATAAATCAAGCATATTTTTGCACGAGTAAAAATAACCGAATGTTCATAATGAATATCAGAAAAAAATGCATTGATGTCGAGTGAAATGAGTGTTCATTGTATGTTTTTTCTCATGGTGCTTCTTTAACATTTTGTAGAACCAAGCGGACAATGTAAGTATGTTTCTTTTTTCTTTTCCAGTTTTAGATGGTCAAGCACCGCAAATTTAAATATTTTACTTAGATCATTTTGTATTGCTTTTACTCAGATGACAAATACTGATAAATCTAAAATGATAAACATATCAGCAATCTAATAAGTATTCTAAAAGGCAGCATTTACCAAAAAAAATTACAAAATGTTGAATAAAGTTAATTATGTTCAAATGAACTATACCAATATGGGTTATAATATGATGTTGAAATGCCAGTAAAATAAACCTTTACTTTCTGTTAAATCTTTATACATGTAATTGTATCATATTTCAGAACCTTATTTATACAGCCCAATTTACATTCAGTGAGAACAATAATTTTAACATACACTTCAACCTTTCTTTAAAAAATATGCACTGATAAGTTTACCTTTTTTTACTCAAAGTTGCAATTCTGACATCACCTTTAAACAAAGAAGTTCTGCTCTTTTAAGTTTTGCGGTTATCTAATTTTTTTTCTATGGCAGTTACTTAAAGTAAACATCAAACCAAGGTTTGTATCTTGCCAATTAAAAGGTGTTTCTTTTGACATTCTTAACACATTACATAAGATACTAAAATTCCTATAATCTGAGATCGTTTGCAATCTCCCTGGATGTTGATTAAGTGAAAATAAACAACATGTATATATCAAGGGGTAACTAGATTATCACTGATATTAAGCAAGTGACTTGACACACTGTCGTGCAATCATTTGCAATAGGGAGATCTTCATGTAGTGATTCGAATTTTCTACGTCGTCTATTTATAGCCTTTTGGCAAGAAATCAAAATAATTTTATGTTTTCAACCCCAAAAAGCCACCTATAAAAACAACACACTCTTACAAAAAAGAAATACCTTAGTCCTGGATATTAACCCAGAACTTCAGCAAAGAATTATATACTAATTGCCTGACGTCACGGCGTCAGGCTGTATAAGGATTGATATTTCCAAGGTGCGAAGCTAAGAGGTTACAGTTAGCCAGCAAAAATTTGTGCATGCTGATAATCACTGGAATTTGTTACTTGCTTTTCAACAAAAGATTTAGCAGAAAAAAATAACCATCTTACTGATACAATATATACGGATGTGTTTATTACTTATATTTTTTCCATGCAGCTATTTATTTCATGCGATTTCATATACGGACATGTCCTTTTGACCTTTTTTCTGCGTTTCTGTATTATTGGATTAGTCCATTTGTCTTCTAGGTAAGGGGTGTCACAATCATTTTGCGCCAAATGTCACGTGTATATCTTCGAGCCCCTTTTCCTGGATGATTCTACTGAACATGGAAATGAAAACTTCAAGTCTGTTCTTTTAATCGCGATTTCAAACTTTGGAAAAAAACATATCGATAATTCGGTGATATTGTGAAAGAAGATAAAACTTACATCATTTAAAGTAAATAAAACGAAACGAAAAAAAATGCTTTAAAGGAAAACTGGCCAAATATACATATTTCTGATCATATTTCGCCCGGGCCCACAGCAACCCCCCCTCCCCCCGTTTTCGGAGATAAAATTCTCCCTCCAATGAAATACAGAAAACAGACTTATTAAATGTGTCCCTATTATTCCAGGATTAGAATATGTTGGGTCATTTATGCATAACGGGCTGTTTCCAACAATTATTGATGCTCTGGCATACCCAACATATCTAGTAAACATATTCTGCATGTTAATCATAACGATTCATTTATTTCTTGTAGTAATCATATTTTCAGCTGCCTTCCCGATATAGTCTATTCAGTTGAATCCAATCTTAAATTTTAATTTTAAAATAAGTATATAACCTTTACAATTTCAATCACGCATTTATTACATTAGTTCACTTCCCTACTATATCTTCTAAACCAGTTATAGGGTCGCGGGATGATGAGCTGTTTGTTACGTCGCAGGTTCGAATCCACTGCGGGACGTGCACATGGAGATCGGTCCTTAGGATGGGACCGTATAAAACCAAGTCCCGAGTCGCAGTAGTGTTAGCACGAAAAAGATACTTGTAACTGCTAATTGGTCCTGAGTGAAATATTTATAGCCCTCCACAGGCAAGTGGTGGCGTCCTTATACAACAAACGATAAATAGAACAAAACAATTTTTAACACATATAAAATATATACCTTTTAATAAAATCTCAATGTTCCTTTTCCATTGCTTTGATAAGTAGCAAACAACTTAAAATGACTGCATGATGTTTTGTGCGACGCTTCCATAATTTCCTCTAGTGAAATAATTACCCCCCCCCCCCAATGTAAACGTTTATATAAATAACTTAAAATTATCATGCTTATAAGTTCTATAGATATTGATTGCATAGTCAGGCAAGCTTTTTTGAAAAGCTATTACTTGTATTGTATTATAGTTTAATTAGCATACATGTAGATGTAATATTGATATTTTAAACATCTGTTCCGAAGTAGAGGGGACTGAACTTTTTACTCTTGTGTGTCTTCTATATGTGTCCCTCCGCCAGTTTATCCGTATCTGTAATCTATTATTTGGGCATGTCATATTGTGAGATTCATTTTTTAGTAGAGTCTGGCGTCAACTTCCTTTTAAAGACGTACAACACACTGGGGAGATAACTTTTGCGATTTCAATTGAACGTTTGACGTGACGTCAAATTTAACGTCAAAAATAAAGCGTCAATCTGACGAGTAAAACGATCCCGATGTATATCAATCATAAAAGAAAAATTGGATATGGGGCTTGGCTTTCCTTATGCGCACTCAATCAATAAGTATGTTTTTTTTACTAACCCGATTAAACTCCGTAAAAAGCAAGACATAAAATTCCATCCCTAAATGTTCATTTCATTTCATTTCATATACATAAATTGTATTCTTGATCAAAGAGCAGCATTTTTTTTATTCTGAAAATTTTATTTTACATTGCCGAAATTCTCATTATATACAATTGGCTATAGGGCATATAACATTCCGATTAATGGTCTTCATTACTATTTGTGCATTTACGATATAAATATTGTTTTTCTTCTTTAATCAAATAAAACAACAATAAACAAACAAAAAACTTTTTACAATGTGAAATCGATGTTGTTTTCAGACCCTTACTGATCAAAGAGGAACAACTCTGAAAATGTAGGAGATGTTTATTTTCCTCCCTTTATTCACGGTTTTCCATAGATCTAGAATCAGATGCATTTACAGCAAGACCTGATAAATCCGAGAATTTAATATAATATATAGACCTCATATATACAATGTAAGTATACATGTAGAATTTAAAAGAATTGTTCACTAGTACTGAAATTATCTGCATTTATGAATATCCTATTGAAGCAAATCGTTTGACTTTCTGTCACTGTCAACAATGTTGGTTCGCATTTCCTCGAATCAAAACAAAACGTAGCCTGTAACTATAAGATTTTTTTAAAACATCAATGTGCGATTTGATATAAATTGAAATAGATGAAGAGTTTAATGTTTGATATTTTGAAGTTAATGTGGACGAAAACGGAATTTTCATTTTAACTTTAGAAGCAACGACATTGAAAGAATGCGTACAATATGTTATGAGGATGTACAGTACCTGGCCATAAGTGAGTCATAATTTTATTTTTACACTATATATTTCATTGAAAACCCTATTTTTCTAAAAACTTGTTGTGAAGTCAATTTTAGCTCAATTTTCATGATTTTTTTCACGGAAACATGCAGAATTACTAGTATTCAAATGTTCTTATCTTAAATGATAAACAAAATGATACTTAAACTATTGAGAATAAATTATAAAATATTGTCAAGACAAAATTTTCTAACCTCAAATTACTATGATTTCTTAACAAAATGAAATCTTAAAATTTTTGTTTTGCGCTTGACCTGTGATTTCACAGTAATGCATAAAGATAAAACTATTTTGAAATAATGTGAAGAAACTACAACAAATTCTGCATTTAATGGTGTTTTAGACATTAAAAAAAACAACAAATGACACTGCAATAATATCTTAGAAAAATGTGTTTTTCAATGAAATATATAGTGGAAAAATAAAATTATGACTCACTTATGGCCAAGTACTGTACCTATATGCAAATGTCGATGTGTCCCCACGGCCACATACTGTCTCGTTTGAAATAATGACATGAAAGAAACTACAGTTATTCCATTTATATTACAGGAGAGTTGAACATACACCATTTTTTTAATAAATAAAATTAAAGAAATAAAATTAAAAATCAACATATTCAAGTTCAACATAACTTGAATTCGTATCCAGGTTTTATGTGATATGGAATGCATAACGCAAACATGTATGGACTAAACACTAAAATTAATCCTTCGGTATTTTTTTCCTGATACATATAAAACAGTAGTCAATATTTATTCTGCATTAATGAATTTAAAAACAAATGCATTTCATCCGGGATTCAAATGACGAAATACTAGTATATTAGCACTGTAAACGACGTTTCGTCAAACGCTAATGGTCTGCGACGCAAAAATGAAAGGGGTGGGGGTGGTAGGGGTATTCAAAAATTGCCTAAAAATCTACATTTAAATACGCTTTACATATAAGAACTTTTAAATTTGTAAGTTAATATATTTTTTAAGCAAAAGCAATAATCAAATTTGATTTTTTTTTAAATGTGTATTTGTAGATTCATAGAAAATGATCGACCCCGTCTGAAAGACGCGCGGGAACGTGATTTATTGAGAAAGGGGGAGGGGGTAATTTTCCGCTATTAAATCAAAACTGGTCGTACAAAAATTATACAAAAAATTATGAAGATTATTTTTACTACCAGCTACCTAAAGAAAGTTTTTTACCAAAATTAAACGACAGCTTTTTTCACAAAAAAGTTTGAATTTGAAAAATACACATTTTGCAAGGCTTAGATAATTCATAGTTTTTCAGTTTAAGGTCTTTAAAAATTGTTTTGATGATATGTGTATCAAAAAGATGACTATGTTTTTGTGTTAAATGGTTACAGAAATAAGTCAATGAAATTTGACATTTATATCTAACCTGGCTTTTTTGAAAATCAAGGTTTAAGTAGTTCGTTGATAAAAAATATTCTCTCCTTGTAAACAACTAAAGGGGAGTCACTTTTGGAAGTTCCTGTCCAAAAACCACTCGAATGATTTTGTCCAAAATGTGCATACATGCAGTAGATATAGTCATGTAATAAATATACAAAAATAACGAAAATTAAACGACAGGAAATTTCGGGGTTAGGTGTGTTGTACATCCTTAATCCGTGCGAATGAGCGTACCAAAATCCGTAACACTTTTTCCAGTAACTGCTTATCACCGATGCTTAAAATTTTAATAGTTCGTTGTTTGGGAATGAAATATGAAGTGAGTCGTTTATTGTTCGCGATCAAATCTATTTTTAATATCGCGGTATCTAAGTTTATAATAATATTTCGTCGCAGATTTCGCAGCAAGTAGTTTTTAGCTCTACTGGTCAGAGACCAGAAGATTTTATGCGATAGTAACGCGTCCGGCGTCCGTCCGTCCGTCTGTCCGTCTGTCTGTCTGTAAACAATTTTTCAAAATGCTACTCCTACTACAGTTTTGGTCTGATTTCAATATAACTTGACACACAAGTATACTACACTGAGATACATAATAATTTTGTGTATTGATTTTTGATTTCTATGAACGTTGTTGCCGTGGTTACTAAATATAGACATTTCTGTGAAATACTTTCAAAATGCTACTCCTCCTACAGTTTCAGTCTGATTTCAATGTAACTTAGCACACAAGTAGGGTCAGAGACCAGAAGATTTTATGCGATAGTAACGCGTCCGGCGTCCGTCCGTTCGTCTGTCTGTCCGCCTGTCCGTCTGTCTGTCTGTAAACAATTTTTCAAAATGCTACTCCTACTACAGTTTTGGTCTGATTTCAATATAATTTGACACACAAGTATACTACACTAAGATACATAATAATTCTGTGTATTGATTTTTGATTTCTATGAACATTGTTGCCGTGGTTACTAAAAATACAATTCTGTGAAATACTTTAATAATGCTACTCCTCCTACAGTTTCAGTCTGATTTCAATGTAACTTAGCACACAAGTAGGGTATTCTAAGATACATACTTCTGCATATCGATTTTAGATTTGGATGAACGGTGTTGCCATGGTTACTATAAATAGAAATTTCTGTGAAATACTTTCAAAATGCTACTCCTCCTACACTTTTTGTCTGATTTCAAAATAACTTGGCACATAAGTAGACTACACTAAGATACATAATTCTGTATATCGATATCAGATTTCGATGAACGGTGTTGCCATGGTTACTAAAAATAGAAATTTCTGTGAAATACTTTCAAAATGCTACTCCTCCTACAGTTTTGGTCTGATTTCAATATAAATTGGCACATAAGTAGACTACACTAAAATACATAATTCTGTATATCGATTTTAGATTTCGATAAACGGTGTTGCCGTGGTTACTAAAAAATAAAAATAGAAATTTCTGTGAAATACTTTCAAAATGCTACTCCTTCCTTCAGTTTTGGTCCGATTTCAATATAACTTAGCACTTAAGTAGACTGCACTAAGATACATAATTCTGTATATCGATATTAGATTTCGATGAACGGTGTTGCCATGGTTACTAAAAATAGAAATTTCTGTGAACTACTTTCAAAATGCTACTCCTCCTACAGTTTTTTTTCTGATTTCAATATAAATTGGCACATAAGTAGACTACATTAAGGTACATAATTCTGTATATCAATTTCAGATTTCGATGAACGGTGTTGCCATGGTTACTAAAAATAGAAATTTTTGTGAAAAACTTTCAAAATGCTACTCCTTCTTCAGTTTTGGTCTGATTTCAATATAAATTGGCACATAAGTAGACCACACTAAGATACATAATTCTGTATTTCGATTTCAGATTTCGATTAATGGTGTTGCCGTGGTTACTAAAGAATAAAAATAGAAATTTCTGTGAAATACTTTCAAAATGCTACTCCTACTACAGTTTTGGTCTGATTTCAATATAACTTGCCACACAAGTATACAACACTAAGATACATAATAATTCTGTGTATTGATTTTTGATTTCTATGAACGTTGTTGCCGTGGTTACTAAAAATAGACATTTCTGTGAAATACTTTCAAAATGCTACTCCTCCTACAGTTTTAGTTTGATTTCAATATAACTTAGCACAGAAATAGGGTGCTCTAAGATACATAACTATTTGTCTTGATTTTTGATTTGAATGAACGGTGTGATTTTTGATTTGAATGAACGGTGTTGCCGTGGTTACTAAAAGTAGAAATTTCTGTGAAATACTTTCAAAATGCTATTCTTCCTACAGTTTATGTCTGATTTCAATATTACTTTGCACACAAGTAGGGTACACTAAGATACATAATTTTATATATTGATTTTTGATTTGGATGAACGGTGTTGCCGTGGTTACTAAAAATAGAAATTTCTGTGAAATACTTTCAAAATGCTACTCCTCCTACAGTTTTGGTCTGATTTCAATATAACTTGGCACATAAGTAGACTACACTAAGATACATAATACTGTTTATCGATTTTAGATTTCGATGAACGGTGTTGCCATAGTTGGTTTGATTTCAAAATAACTTGGCACATAAGTAGACTACACTAAGATACATAATTCTGTATATCGATTTCAGATTTCGATTAACGGTGTTGCCGTAGTTACTAAAAAAATAAAAATAGAAATTTCTGTGAAAAACTTTCAAAATGCTACTCCTCCTACAGTTTTGGTCTGATTTCAATTTAACTTTGCACACTAGTAGACTACACTAAGATGCATAATTCTGATTTTTTATTTCGATGAATGATGTTGCCATGGTTACTAAAATTGAATATACTCTAAAAGTTTATTAATAGCTACTCCTACAGCTGTAGTTTTATTGCAGTATCTTGCCACAAAATGAGCTCAATCAAGCATCATTATGCTATTCATTGCTGTTTTCAAGTTTCAAGTCCCAACTGCTACTTTTGTCTTCATTAGTAGTGCTTTAGTCTCGACAGAGACTTCTGGTTTTCAGATACACTAAACTTCACAGATGTAACAAGCATTCTGAGAGTACTGCATAAGCAATACATGTCCCTTACCGGTATTCCTTTTTCTCTTTAGAATACAAGCTTACCGGTATTCCTTTTTCTCTTTAGAATACAAGCTGGTTTGGATCATTAATTTAGTGCAGCACGAACCCGATTTTAAACCATATTATGAAAAAAGGAAAATGCTATAATTCCGTCAAAAGTCAGTGAAGTGGAACGAAATTTTAACTTGACCTGTTACAGTAAGTTGTTAAGATACACTCACATACCAAAAAATCAGTTCAGTATCTGTTAGCGTTTAGAAAAAAAAAATAGTGCGGAAAAACCAAGTGAGACAGACTGGCAGACAGACAGCTATACAAACGGACGGAGGGAAGGATGGACTGACAGACTCCTAGGAAAAATATAGTTCCATCCAGTTCATGGTAGGGGACTTATAACGCAGGTACGATAAGGCTTCGTAGAGAATATTGTAGTGTACTCTGTGCATGCACTTCTCTGAACTACAAATGTATGAGTCATAATTGAAAGTGACGTCAAGTCACCGCATACTTGAGCTGCAACGATGGGGAGAGTGTCATAAACTTTACACCTTATATCAATCTGCATATAAAGATGCAGAATGCTAGTTTTAAATAAACTTGTTTTTTGTAATTTTTTTCAAAAATCTAAGATATCCGAACAATTTAGATAACTTTACTTTATTACTTTTGTTTAAGAGTCAGCGTGTTTGACAAATACCCTTTTTATACCCGTGGACGGACACAGAATTCATAATATGTGTATAAAGAGCCTGACGCAGGTTATTAATGAGGATTTATTTAATATCTTTTGTGGTAATATGTAAGAGGAGTTTCCCCTCTAACTGAAACCTGCTTGGGAAAAATGTATGATGGCTTTGTTTTAAAACATATGACGATATTGAGCGGAAAATACCCTCAGATTTGTCGGTAAGTTGAAGTTAATGTGAAATAAATCGTACCAAAGAAATAGTATAACTTTTCCCAAGCACATTTCGGGTTCACAAGGATGCAACGAGTTTATTTATGTGAAAACAGTATTTAATAATTGTGTTAATAATCCTCACCGAAGCGATTTATGTGGCACATTCCAAAAAGTAGAAAACAAGGTCATCTGATATAACAAATATGTTTACATATAGCCTAGATAACTCTCTATATGAATTGGGCGTACTTAAGTACATAAGTTAAAAATACAGCTCAAAATTAACTTTGATATGCAGTGTTACGTTTTAAATTGATTTTAAGCTCCGGAAAGCCATAACAGCACTGCGAAAAAATGAGTAGATAATTTGGTTTTAATAAAATTACTTATGATTTAAGGTGTAACTGAAGTTCCACAAGATCCTACTGTTTCCTATCACGGTGTATCATGGGAAACTACTACGAAAGGAATACTAACACTATATGAACCTAGTGTAAATCTCAAGTGTGGTTTTACCCCACTAAGTAACAATCTATTATTCTACGAAATATCATGGTATGTAGATAATACCGAAGTACTGAAAGGCCAAACTGTAGCTTCTGACTCGCTGGACACAGCTTTACTGTCAGCATACCACATACTGAGTTACAACAAAAAAGCTGGATCCATGGTACGTAAGACAAAACATGAGATACAGAAATAGTGCAAACATTCCATGTTATTTTCTTCAGTATGCTCTTCCTACCTATGTACTTTTAATTTTGATTTAATAAATAGATCCAATGTGTCGTTGGGGCAAAACACAAGAAAGATGGAGTTGCTTGTATAACAAAATCTAGCCCTTTGTTTTTCGCCGGAATAAAGGTAATATAAGATATTTTATTTCAAAAATATCAGAACACACACAGCCAGAATAAAAACAATTTACAATTAATACATTGTAGTAAGGGAGGCATTAAAATTAGTCCAACCATAAAAAATCATATTCCCAAAGTGCAACGCTGAGGACAATACGATATTCATTGCAATAGACGAAGTTTTTATATCTTCCTCATTATAATGCAATAAACTGTTTAGGTAAATGCAGTAAATATCAAAACGATCCTATGCCTGTGGTAAACATTTGATAAAAACAATAAGATGCATAAAGGCTTAACGCGTTTGAATCCAAACAATCTATCAGCGATTTAAAGAATCAAACTCAGTAGAAACACACTCGCAGGACAGACAGAACAATTACCTTGCATGTACCAACTCTTAGTAAGTCTTTCCACAATTTGTTGCAGTATGTGATGAATCCCGAATACATTTTTTGACTTTTAAAAACTGCTTTGGAAGAAAACTGTTATTTTTATGTATGAATAAATGATTATATACTTACTTTTATTAAATTTATTCATTTTCATTTGCAGGTTTTGACGCCCCGATTGGATATTGCCAGAGGAGAGACTGCCAATGTTCAATTGCAGTTCACCATACCCTATGTAGATCAGAACCTACGAATAGACCAATTAAATCTCGATCTTGCACCTTCTGATTTGGTTATAAACCTTGCGACTCTTAATGCTAACTCAATTTCTTGTAATGATGGAAATAACAAATTTTGTGGCATGAAAGTCAAGGGATATTCATTTAAGGACAGACACAACTATTCCACAGATGTTTGGAAACAAATCCATAACGTGACAATCTTTAATAAGGATGATCTAGACTTTACTGGTTTTGAAAGTCATATACTTTTGCGTCTCAAAACTATTGGTACCCAAGGCAACGGAAGCAGAATATTTGATCACATAACTCTACCAGATATTCAGGCAACTATTTTCATTGTCTAGAATATATTAAGAATTATTTCAATTAGGCAAGATTTATCGATACTTGCAATTGAAGTAATATGTATTGCCAGCACTACTGTAACTAAAAAGCACTGAGAATCCAACAAAACCCTGAGGAAGTACTGAGTGGTACTGAGCCCGGTACTGAAAAACTTGGGAGATCCTGAGTAGCACTGAGGTTTTCACTGTGCATTCTATTGTGCTACTGAGGAACACTGAGGTTAGCACTGTTGCTACTGTGGAAGTACTGAGGGGTACTGAGGTCATTCTGAGGCCACTGAGCTGGTACTGAGTAGCTCTGAGGTTTAATACTGTGGCTACTGAGGTAATCCTGAGTGACACTGATGCTTTTTTTTCAAAAAGTTTTTTTGTAATTTAATGTTCAAATTTCTTTATTTTTAAACCCTTTTCAAATTAAAATGTGTAGGTTCAAGTATCTTGACACTACCCGTCGACAATTAAACTGAAATTCGCCTCTTGTTCATTTAATTAATTAAATTATTTGCATACTTTGTTTGGAATTTTCAAAAGGTTTAAGTGTTCTATGCATATTTAATTAAGAAAGTTGATATCTGATTTATTTGTCTTTGATATCAACCAATTAATTATAAAAATAAAGTATTTTTGAAATTTAGTTTTTCAAAATTTATCCAACCAATGTTAAACATCATGATAAATAGTAGTTTCTGTCTAATAAATCTCGATCCACACCTGAAAATTTGATAGGTTACGTATTTGTTGTGCAAATAAAGATGTCTTTAATGTTAAATTAACATATAATTTGAAAATGAACATGGGGATTACTGAAAATTTTAATATTTCTATGTGCTTGCATAATAAAATGAACACCGACAGCTGAAAATAATACCGGTTTATTTTGCTTTAAGTCCGAGTTTTATTTCATAGAAGTTTCATTTACTATTTATTTAGCACACGCGCACATGATTACAGAAAATCATGTGTAAAGATTGAATACTCATAAATTCAAACAAGAAAGTAGTTAGAATAATTAGGGATCTCTATGTTAAACCAGGGACCTATATATTAATATAGGTCCCTGGTTAAACACGTGGCGCTAAAATTTGATAACAGTCATGTAGTTACTGAGAATTATAATATGATATCTAATAATGCAATTGTCATTTTTTTTTTGGGGGGGGGGCGGTTGTTTGTCAATCAGAATGATAGCAAGTTCACTTAAATCATAATTATGTTCATCGCTTAATTCACATGTACCGGGAATTTCGGTGTCATAGCTGCATATGTTTTCTTAAAGACATCAAATGCATTAAATGAAAATAAACTTGAACTCCCTTTAAAGAAAATCTATCATTTATTTATTTTTACTGGTTCTAATTACGCTGCAGTATTTATTCGCTGTGATAAAGTCCTACTGCCGATCGGTTAGTGTACAACAATAATAATTGTCACGAATGATTCAGTAGACTCCCTTCCTTTTATAAATATTGATACCCGTTTACAGGAAAATGAATTACTCACTTATGTTCAACTTAAAATGTGACTTTTATCTTCCTTTCATTTTGAAAAATAACTACTACCATCAGATTTATATATAAAAAAAGCTCTTGACAAGCCATACTGTTAACTCTTTTTTTATTTTATTTATTAAAAAGGGTTAATCGGAAACAATTATTTAGTAAATAATTGTGTACATGCAATGTATTTTTTAATTAAAAGAAGACTTTTATTCAAACACAGCACCGTATTCATGAATATTAATATGAATATTGTAGACAAACGGCAGCGCTTTGAAGTACTTCACTGGCGCTGACTGGTAACGGAACCTCTGTGAAGTACTACACAAATGGAAGCTCTGTGAATGCGCAATGCAGTAGCGAGAAACAAGACAATAGGTGTCACTTCAATATATATACAGACGGGCACCTGCCGGATATCACTTGCAGTCAGTTACGCAATGTTGACCCAACATGTAGACTCAGAGGACACCCTCAGATCAGCCCGGCCCCTCATTTTCATTCTTTCTCACACACTTTAAAGAAATCTAATTAAAACACAGAAAATTAAATTTTTATTTGATTAAATTTGCGATGCATTTATAATTATTTTCTATATAATCCAACTGGGTTTCAAAACTATATTTATCTATTTTATTTTTTATAAAACATGTATTTTTATCTCTACTAATCAGATCTGTTATAAACAAATATCTAAAATTACAGTGTTCGTAATTAATTAGACGTATCTAATAACCGAAAGACATTATAATTCATTATCCCAAAACCCCCTTCAAAATAAAGAAATAAACCGAACTAATCAGAAAGAAAAACTAATTAAAAGATTTAATATGTTACCAAAAATGAAAAAAAGAAAAGGAAAAGAGAAGTAACAAAGGACACGAGGCTTGTATGTTCTTTTATAATTGCCTTTCATGTTATATCAAGTATACAGTATTAAGTGTTTAGAATTAATTTGTTGAATGTACAAATTTCTCTTCAACAACCTTATACATGTATGTACGATGTACTTAAAAATTTGTCAGAATTTAGAATTTATTTTCTGTCAATGCAATTCAGGAAAGGTCGCGTGATTCACTGTTGTAAACAATCGGATGTCACCGTAAATTTCGGACATCGGGAACGAGCATCAAAATACTTTATTTTCAGTGATGGTTTGGTAAAGATTCTTAACCGGCGACAATTAACGGCATATCATATTTGTCACAGATACTAGTATTTGTTCTTCAACTAGTATGTAATATCAGTAAATGGACAGCTAAGGGCCTAGTAGTAATAGAAATAAAACTCACATGTAGTATACGAAAAGCATAAAAATTTGGAAAAAATAACGCATATTAGTTTAATGCAGTCCTACGTGTATTGTACAACCATCTGAGATTTACGGCAAATTTACAAAGTGAATGAAAAAAAAATATGCATTCCACTTTAAGAAAAAATTAGTATGATCTGATTATTGGCAAGCGAAAATATCTATTCATCGATTTATTTGATAAGACAGTTCTCGAAAATAAATGAGTAATATTACGAGGTAAATCCAGTGAAAATTAATTTTGAACAATATTTTTTGTAATTGATTTTTTTGTAAAGGGGAGGACGTTCTTAGTTTTCAGAACTTGTTTCCGATTCTTTCTTGTAACATCTAGTAAACAATAAAATATTTTTAAACAAGCCAAGCGGTAACTTGATATAAAATCTGACATTTCAGGTAGTAAGTACACGAGCACCTAATCCATTGCTTGCAGAGAATCACGTGTTTAACATGTTAAAGCCAAGTATTCATGTGACCTTGACATAAAATTAAAATAAAATTTAAAAAAGTAACAAATAAATGAAATGACAGACCGTGTAAAGTATCGCTTGTACATTTACATGTAAGTTGTATATCTTCTTTACTATAATCACATCAAACAGAACAAAATGACTACCGGTATTATACATTGTCAATAAACTGGAGGAGGGGGGGGGGGTACTGCATGACTGACGCAGGTCTGCACAATGTGTATATCATGCGCGGCCTAAAAGTTAGAGTTCAATGCACAAAAAACTTCTTTTGCAAAGAAAATTTACCTTCCACGTATTCATTTTAACATTTTTAAGAGTCAAAGAGAAACAATTACGAATTAATGTATATTCCCTCGCACAGCAAGATTTTCATACACTTCTGGTAATTGAACTGTTATCATTGCATTAATATATTTTACAGGTTTAATTGGCGAAAGCTAAAAAGATTTAATCTCTATCTGTATTATGCATAATTGTCATGGAAAAGTTTTCATTTTGAATTCAAATGTAAACCTTTCAATTAATCAATTAAGTACATGTATGTATAATGCTGACTATCTATAAACGTACGCAAAGCTGTGTACCTATTAATACCGGTAAATAATATGACTGTACATATAGTGTTAATGAGGGGGTTGGGGGTATTTTCCTGAGAATGTATTAGAAATTTAGAAATAGAAGTCAATAAACTAGAAAAACATTTTCTTCACTGTTACGAATGCAGTACATTTTGCATGTACGGAATTTCGATGTACATTTTGTATACATCTGTCAACGCGTGTAGCTTTTGGTTGTTTTCGTACATATATAGTCGTGAAAACGTTTGAAATAATGTCTAAAATTTGCAGGATACATACGCATCTCATGGATCCGGATAAAATTCGCATGCGCACCGAGCGCGCACCTATCGACAGTGACCTAGTTATCCTTGGTGAAATCTTCAGTTTGCCGTCGGTACTCCGTGATTGCCAGTATATTTTGTAATTAAATCATGCTTTTACATGATAAATATTAATTATTACTATAGTAATAACTTTATGGTGGATATCTATTTATAAAACCATGAAAATTAAACTGTCCGACTTTACATACTCGGTCATTTAATGTCGGATAGAGGAGAATTTAAAGTCGGACAGCACATTATATTGAATAAATTGTATTTTAATTGTCATATTTTAAAAAAATAGAACAATTTATTATAATGTTATTAAACTTACTGGCAATTGAAGAGTATTTAAGCTTTTGTAAATTAAATTCTGTCGATTCGCTGCATCTTTTTGGAAGGAAGAAATAAAAAAAACCCGTTTTATCACCTACCCTATAGAAATTGTTTCATTTCAGAAAAAAACAATGAAAAACACGTAAAGCAAAAACGATCTCATTTAATTTTAACAGCAACAGACTGATATAATATTACAGAGAAATGAAATACTGTATACATAAACCGAGGAAAATAAAAGAAGGGGAAAGAACGAGAAGAAAAGAAAATCTATTAAAAAAAATCAACAAAGTAAATTTTTTTTTGTGGCTTTATTTGAGTTTCATGTTTATAACTCATCACTCATTCAGGAAAAAGAAAGGTTTCTTTCTTGAAAATTAAATAAGTTACAGATTACTAATTCTAATGTAAAGATAGTGGGGTATATAGTTTTCTGACTATAACCATTTATATAAAATGGGATTAATTTTGGGGACAATATAAACAAAAAAAAAATTATTCACACGATAACCCATGGGTTTATAGATTATAGATCGCAAAACACATGTACTATATGCTAATTTAAATTTCTTGGTATATAAATGGAAAAATCGAAATAATCCACACGATTACTAAGTATATTATACGTAAAAATAACTAAATGTTCACGAATTTTTTCCCGGGCACCCGTTATCATTTTTGTAAGCTGGGGAGGGGCTAGAAAATTAAATTTAAAAAAATCAACTTACCAGAGTGAAGAAAGAAAACGACAAGAAAGAAGGAGTGGGTAATGGTCCAAACTCAAAGAAAATTCTATTTTGGAGGTTGATGGGAGGATACGTTCCATTTGATAACATCTTTCAAAACTGAATTTTATTCATACATATAACCAGATTACCCTGATTTGACGGTAATAAAAAGGTAGCGGTGGGACAAACAGCCTTTCAATGAACTTGAATTTTCAATAGTGTAAAGTAAATGTTTTTGGGGAAAAGTGAGGGGTCAGCCCCCACCCTCTGATACTTTGTGCATGCTCCACTACGATTTAACACCTAAAAAATGAAGTAAATTGGACTTTAAATGCCGAAACTAGTATGTGTCCGACTTTAAATTCTACATGTCCGACTTTCACTGTCGCTGTCCGACTTTATCAGCCTTTGCCTTTCCGTGTTTGGTTTTGAATTATAGCATTAGAAAGCTTTTAACCAATGAAAATTAAGAATAGACAAAGGGTAAAAACCTCATTATATGTGACGTAAAACTTTCCGGTTATGTGTTACGAGTTTGGAGCGCGTACCGAAGGTGCATACGAGAGGGTTCAAAAAAGCGTCCGACTTTCGCTTTACCGGGGGGGGGGGGGGTATAGGAAGTTGTATAATCCGTGGATGGAAATCGTAATATTTGTATGCATCAAGACATTATCGTTAATATGTGTAGAAAACTTGATGTGAAATTTTAATTTAAATCAAACATTAACGTAGATTTCCTTAATCAATATATATCTTCGTAACAAATTATCATCATCTTTTTAGTTGAGGAAAATTCAAACACAAATAGTGAATTCAATACTTTATGTACTCCAAAAATGATTAGAAATTTTAGATGCGCCAGGACTGATATTACAATGTGATAGAATCTCAGGTTTTTTTTTATATAATTCCAAAAAAAAACCAGAAATAATTTTTATAAGATTCAGATAAAAATGCTTTAATTTTTCAAGTGTAAAGAACTTTCCTGTTAAATCAGTATTTCACGCAAAAAAGAAATAAAAGAAAATTCCCTTATTGAATATATATTAATAGTTTTATCAATATTTTGTGTCTAGTCTACATTAATTTTATTAAATGTTTTAATCAGCCTTTATTAATGAAGACCAGCAATCTCTTTGTAAGGATGTTACGCCAGTGGTGTGTATACACCGTTTAACACAGCCAAATGTTAACCCTCGGCTGAAAACCCTCCCAAATCACATAGAATATACAAAAAATACACTAACACAGTAGCAGGTGTCTTCGCGACACGTGTCCCCACTTGTGACACGTGCGGACAGGTGCCCGTGACAACAAGGGCATCGCATTGATTGAAACTTACCTGATTAATTTGCGATGATTTTAATTTATGTTTCTATGAAATAAGCTTCTCTATATCAATTTCTATTTAATTTCATACATGTAATACAATTTTGTCGAAAATAGAATATTAAAAGTGTCAATTTAATTTAACTTTGCTTTGCAGAATACACAGATTTAAACTAGCTGACAAATTAAGTTCATGATAAATTTAAGTCAAATCTTTTGATATCTTTTTCAAAATATGCATTGTCAAGAAAATGCTTTTTAAACCAATTAAAACATATGTTAAGACGGAACTTTCATTTATACGGAAATACATTGTTCTGATGTCACGATCCAAATGTTTGCCTTCAAGTTCCCTGGAAAACCTGTTGTCCTCTTTACCCTATATCATAAGCATATGTGGTAATTATAACTGTGCAATTTTGATTGTTTAAAGAAAACAAATACAACGCAGTTAAAATTAGTTATCATAGCAAAATACCCCCGGGTATTAGATAATTGTTTTGTACCAGCTTAGCTTAAAAAGAAGACTAGAGAAACTCTTTTTTCCCCCAGAAAATGAAATTACCAGTAAAAATAGGAGACATTTGGAAAATCAAGGAGATTTGAATACTCCCGCACTTTGCTGCAAAATACAATTTTAACTCATAAAATGAAATGAGATTCAAATAAGGTCGACACACACCATATCAAATAGATGAGCATATCAAGTATTTTCAATTCATGCGAGAGTAGTCTTTACAAAGAAATTATGTGTAATATATATTATGTGTAATATATATATTCTATTTTTTATAAAAAAAATTATTACCTAGTGTAGCAATATTTATTGTTACAGACAATAATTGCAAACTCAACAAATGCATGCAAATGTTTCTTGAATATTAGACTTCAGAATATGAAAATAAAATGAAAGATATGCACTAAAATTATATGCTACTGTAAGTCATGGAATATTATTGGTGGTTCTGTAAATCAAAGATTAAAGAAATAATTATACTATAAGGAAGATATGGTTCAAAAACAATTATTTGTCTGCCCACGCTTTACCTTATTATATTTTCATATTATTGAGTTTTGAACCCCTCAGTGCCTCTCAGTATGTCCACAGTAGCCTCAGATAAAACCTCAGTATCACACAGTATCAGCTCAGTTCCCTCAGACAAACCTCAGTGCCCCCCAGTACTTCCACAGCAGCAACAGTGCTAACCTCAGTGCTCCTCAGTAGCACAACAGAATGCACAGTAAAAACCTCAGTGCAACTCAGTACTTCCTCAGTTTCTCAGTAGTAGCCTCAGTACAACTCAGGGTTTTCTCAGTACCACTCAGTACTTCCTCAGGGTTTTGTTGGATTCTCAGTGCTTTTTAGTTACAGTAGTGCAGGATATTGGTTTTTAATCTATTAAATGATTTTCTTTTTTCAGATGCCTGTTTATTACATGTACATTAAAATATAAGTGTTGCCTATTGATAAAGACTTTATGTCTTAAAAGAATAAAAGGAAAAAAGGAGAATGAGAGTTAAGGACAGATGATACAAACAATTTTTCTCTTTGGAAGAGACTTAATATCGTGTCACAAGTTTAGAAAAGGGGATAATTCTTAGAATGTTTTCTCCTAAGAACTTGAAAATGAAATAGACTTGGAAAATATTTATAATATTTCAATATAATTACAAATATGGACAAAATACATTCAGTAAAGGTTTACAGATGAAAACAAATTTTAGAATATGTTACCTTGGTGCTAAAAATGTAATTTGAACTTTAGAAAAATATATCAAGCTGGGCGAATTTTAAGAGGAAGAACAAAATGGTAAAAATCAGCCTATGGTTTATTGCTGATTTGTTGTCATTTTGTATTTCATCATAAAAATCACCCGGCTTGGTATATTTTTAAAGTTTATATTACACTTTTAGATCCAAGGTAACATATTCTGGAATTTGTTTTCACCTGTAAACCTTTACTGAGTGTTTTTTGTCTATATTTGTTTTTTTATTGAAATATTAGTAATATTTTCCAAGTCTATTTCATTTTCCAGTTGTTAGGAGAATAAATGCCATGAAATATCCACTTTTCTAAACTTGTGACATGATATTAAATGTATGCCAGAGAAAAAAATTGTTTGTATCATCTGTCCTAAAGTCTAAAATTGAATATTTCAGTTGAAAAAGGCTACTTTAAGAATTTTTTATATATCAGGTGTTCATTTCGGAACCTACCCAAGTCTGGAAAGGGAAATACTGTGGCTCTTTCACATACCTCCACATGGTCTCCTTTGATGGATAGTATGTTTAACTTCACATATTTCAAAATAATACTGTACTTTAATGTTCATTTAATTGTATACATGAAATTGTTTCCAATATTTAACATTATGCAAAATATCATAAAAATATCGATAACGTTTTTTTTGTTTTTTGTTTCCTAAAAGTGCATACGAGTGTCAAGAATATGGCATGTATATTCTCTATAGGAATACAAAATATGACCAAGAGGTACGTTCATCCTTTATGATAAAATAAAATACATTGTATCTACCAAGATATTCCAAATGATACTTTTTATCAGATCTATATCAACATAGGTACAAGTTAAACACCACATGTGTCATCCATCTAACTCATATCCAAGATGCACGTGTGCAGTAGCAGCAAGATCAGGAAGGGATGTTTTCACACTTGATATCTGCAACAACCAAAGAATAATAAATTTTCCTTTCTGCAAAGACAAAGTATTAAAAGTGATCAGAAACAACGACAAAAATTATCAAGTATGAAATATAAAATGAATAAAAACAAAAAGTCCTACTCATTTTTTTTATTACTATGTAAGTTGTTAGATGACAGCTACAATATATATCAAATCTTACACATACAGTTAAGTTTAAAAGTTCACAAAAGCTTAAACCTTAATTGAGCTTCTCTAAACACAACAGAAGCTAACACATAGTCTGATCAATGTTCTTGCAGGTCATATTTCCGACAGGGACTTGGGTGGATCTGTCAATTATACCTTGGCCTAATCCTACAACTTGGCAGATAAACATACAAATTTATCCATCCCCTTCAGATGTTAAAAACAGTAAAGGTTTGTGTGGAATTCTGGATGGAAATCAGAGTAATGATTTAACAAGAAGAAATGGCCACGTAGATTCTCTGAGTAACTATAATTACCACAAACATCCTGTTGATTTCTCGCATTCTTGGCGGTAAGCCCATGCTTTTATTCTACATGTACATGTATGTTTGCGTGTTTAGTAAGACTGCACAAAGATCAAAATTCGGGCAAACTTCTGTCCTATGAAATGAAAGATTGATGTATAAAAAGCGATGAAACATTTACAGTTATTTTGTTTCTTTTGCAATTGTATACTTCTCCATTGCACACGATCACGCCTCTGATGTTTCGGAGGACCATGTTTGTTCTGCTTCAATTTTGAATCGTTAAATGGACTTTTGAGCTTGAATACTGTCCCTTATCTCTTTATATATTTCATCGTAATCGTCGATTTCTCCGTTGAGACCGTGAAACAAGGTCCCATCAACATGAAACAGATATTTTGCTGCCCTTAGGCTGTACGTGGCAAATACATCCATAATTTGCAACCTCCATCAGCAATTGGTGTCATCTTTATATAAGTGAGAGACACTTAACTATGCAAATTGGAACATCAAACAAGCTATCAAATGAACTATCGACGTTACGATCATGTTACGATATTTGAAATATGAAAAAAAGATCCTTTATAAATGGTGGAAATTTCGACAATCGTCTCCTTTGTGTAAAAACATAAGTTATAACATGTGTGTCATGAACAATGCAGCTAGAATCCTACTCTCCTTTAAAAATGTTCTTTTTTCACAGATTCACACAAATCTTTATCGCATTTAGGGTATAGCCTTGACATAAGCGCTATGTGAGTGCAAATTTTATGATCAATTATAAAGGCCCCTTTATATTTGTGTAAAAGCCTTAAAAAGTAGTTTGTTAGGCGGAAATTATGATAAATTAAACAATTGATATATTAAGGCTGACTAATTTTGTATCGCTGAGCGAAAATGCTTTTCTCTAGGATTATATATCCTTGAAGTTATGATAATTTTAAATCAATTAGTGTATTTCTTTTTAGGATACTTGATAATGAAAACTTGTTCACTGAAAGCTGGACAGTGTATGACGGTCTGAGGTCTATTTCTAATACTATGGCAAGAGTTTGTACATGCAAGGAAACAAAAGATGATAGAACTGGTAAGAGAGAAACGCAGATTGAATGTAATTATGGTACATACAAAGACTGTAAATTCAAAATTGGAAAGCAGTTTCATTGCCTACTTCATCCTGCTGGGTCTAAACGGAGGAAACGAGATATAACACACCTTAGGAGCTTAATGAAGCGAGAATCCGAATATACAGTGGATGAAAACATATTGGTAGTGTTGATCACCTTTCACATAATGTTAAAAGCTGATTTTTTTTAACTGCAAAAAAATGTTAATTAATTTTAACTGTTAACTTTAGGTGAGGGAAAAAAGACAGGCATACGACGTTACAACGGAGATCGAAGCTCGCAAAATTTGCATAAATGCATTTGAAGAATCCCAAGCATTTCTTAGTTGTCAGCAGTACGTTAGTGATCTATCCAATGCTACTATAGATAACTGCATTTCTGATGTGATGGTAACTTAACACATTTACACGTTTAATGATAAAATAGATCCATGACAAAAATGTGACAATAACATAATATGTGAAGATAATGCTAATTTTAAGTGTAGGAAAATGTTTGTTTAACTTGTACTTTTATTCTTCGGTGATAATGCTGATGGTCATCTTTACATTCGTTTACTGATTTTTGGATTGATGATGACTTTTTTACTAGTTTGACTTGTCTTAGACTTAGACTCAGTGAAATTAGATAAGTAACAGGAGAGAACAGATAAATAAAATGACATTATATCTCTGTCTTGATGACCTTGACCTGTTCCACAACAGTCACCCACCTTTTGTTATATTGATTGGCACAAATTTGATGTCAACACATATTTAATCATTATTTTCTGTTCATATTGATTGGATGTGGAGATAAGAATCAAATTGCAAGCTCTAAAATTATTTTATTAATACAAATCAAAAGCAGAGCAAACACCGACCTCTAGGAACATCAGAAATGGGTTACAGTGTCATTAAGGAGTGCGTTTCTCCACGACCTGTCACAGCCGCCTTTTTTGCCACGATCGAAAATAAAAGACCTAAAAATTCATTATCCAATTTTTCATGTTCTTAATACTTCAATTATAGAAATGCACGTATTTCCGCAGCGTTCAGAAAATTTCACTACTGTAAAATCACATATTTTCGTGGGGTCAAATTTTCGTGGTTTGAGGAAAAAATGTTGGTTCGTGGGGATTTGATTTCGTGGATGAAGAATTTTTTAGTAGTTGTGCATATGAAAAATTGCATTTCGTGGTGGACATAAATTCGTGGGTCTCTTCATACCACGAAAACAACGAAAATTAACCCCCCACGAAAATTAGTGATTTCACAGTAATTTATTACTGTTGGGGGTTTATATTTTGAAACGTTTTAGTTACAAGTAATCGTATTCTACTCACAATGCTCCAATAAAGTACCAAAATCAACCATATGTAAGGGATATAAACTCAAAAATAAAAAAAAAAAGGTTTTATAAAATATACGCAAAACCTTTATGATAATTCCACAAATTTAAACTGCAATAAAAAGTTTAACAGAAATCCAGAGAACTCTCTACAGGTAGTTTGCAAAACACTTAAGGAAACCAAAGCATTATGGGCTCGGCCATATGTGTTTGTATTTAGAAATGAGTGCATTGAGTTTGAAGCCTTTCAGGACATTTTGTATGGAGTGATAAATGTCAATTAAATATTAAATTGGCAGCTTTGTAAGGCTGCCAAAATTGTATTCAGAACGTATTGTGTCATTTCGTTGACAGTTTATTTTTGTTCGAAAATGGAGATTATGAATGTAAGCACAGGATACTTTTACAAAGTGATTTCGCAACGAAATATAAACACACCTGTTGCAATATGAAAATACTTTATAGTTTATGCAGATGTCATTTATGAATTTTCATTTTTGATTTAAATAGGCACACGTGCGTAAATTTTGCCTTTAACCATATTTATATAAACGGAGAATTTCAAGGTCAAGTCTTTGAGTAATATATTCAGTAATAGATACACATTTGAAATGTAAGGCGAGTGAACTTTCTGACACTTTTCCCCGTCAGGAAAGCTCAAGGTCAAAATGACTTGAAATTCAAATTCAATAATGATGTCATATCTTGGCATTCACGAAAAGTTATTGCATAAGATGTAGTGCAATTTATTTTTGAAAAGCTTTTGCCTTCTATAGAATTCTTAATATATTGTATTTCCAGATGACTGGAGACCATAAAGTTACAAAGATACATATTGAAGCGGCTTTGGAGCAATGTTCTACCCTTGTTCTTTTTAACACAACCTTTCAAACTGAACAACCGCAAATAACGTACCAAGTGGAATCACTTTGTCCAAATAGTTGCAGTGGGAATGGCGAGTGTAATCGAGGTAAAATTGAGTTTCAATTCCCCCGTAAACGAAGTTTCGGGGGATATAGAGCCTTGGCCCTGTCCGTCCGTCTGTCTGTTTGTTTATCCCCAAAAACTATAACCTTGCCTATATCATTTGCCTGAGTGGTCTATGGGATTCATATTTTACAGGTGTAATCCTTGTGACAAGTCCTTTTTCTTTTTTAGGGTACTACCAAATTTGACCTCTCGACCTTGACCTTGGAGTTTGATACACATACACCAAAATTCCAAACTTTTGCTTTGGTCATAACTTTTGAACAATTAGTGCAAGGACTTTCATACTCCACATATGTAATCCTTGTGACAAGAACTTTCATTGGATACAAACAATCTTGACTCTTTGACCTAGACCTTGGAGTTTTTTTTACCTACTTTTTAAAAACTTAAAATTTGGCCATTATTTTGAACCGTTGGTTCTTCAACTTTCATACTTCACATATGATCTTTGAGACAGGACGTTTTATTGGATACCAGTAACTTTGACCTTTAGACCTTGGCCTTGAAGATTGACCTACTTTTAAAAAAATCAACTTCAAACTTAACTTTTTAAGGGTAAGGGCTAGGGTTTCCATACTCCACATTTGAAATCCTTATGACAACTCTTTTCATAGGTTACCAACAAAATTGATCCATTGACCTTGGAATTTTATCTACTTTTTAAAAAATTAACCTTGGCAATAACGTTTGAACGGTTAAGGCAAGGGCTTTCATACTCCTCATATATAATCTTAGTTACAAGTTTTTTCTCTAGAAACCAACAAATTTGACCTATTCACCTTGACCCCGTGGGTTGACCCACCTTTAAAAACGTTAACTTTGGCCATAACTTTTGAACAGGTGTTGATAGAACCTTATATTTCACATTTGTTTTTCTCGTGAATAGGCCTTACTTCGGGCATTAACATATGTGATTCGCATTTGAGAAGACTTAACCTTTGCAGTGTTTCACAAATACATCTTGTTTAAAAATATTTAAATCAAATAAAAAAAAATGGAGAGCTAAGTCAAAAACGGTGTTATGGATTACATAGTAAAAAACATCTTTGGACAAGATTTCAAATACACTTTAAATTCCCACTTATTATGTATCAATTTCACTTTACCTGAATTAGGAAATATAGCTACCTTATCATTTTTATTTTGAATCCATTTCCTATAGGTAATTGTACATGCAACTCAAATTTTGCTGGCAGCGATTGTTCTTTTGATCTGCTTGGGCCTCCAAAGATTAATCATATTTCTGACTTTGGTCTCTGTGACAAATCATATGAAGATTGTGATGAAATCACTTTGTATGGAGAATTGTTTCTTGAACATATGGATACAGAATGCTACTTTACAAGAAGAACGGTAACACACAAATAATCATGAATAAAATTAAATATATTTTTATATATCATAAATATGTTTAAGTGATGGATGTGAAAGCTATTTACACCATTCAACCGATATTTTAGGAGATGAAGACATTTATTTTTTCTCAATTATTTTTAGTCAATCGATAATGCCTAAAAGTTTGTAATTTACGGATTTCCTTATTTTGAAAGGAGGCTTACAAAGGTACCTGAGTGGTTCTTATACATGAATTATCTAAATTAAAATAATTATTTTATGTAAAGCGACAAAAAATTAATGAAAATACCGGTAACTAATACGAATTGTAATTAGCACATGTACTACAGTATACACCACAGAACCAAGGCTATTACATTAAAGCTTATCACATTTCTTCAAAGAATTTTCCGGAAAGCTTTTATTCACTCGCAAAATACATGTATGAGGGCCACTATGTAATCTGCTCACATAATCACAGTTCAGTAAAGTCAGATGCCATCGATGTAAATAAACAAATATATTGCTCCAATTAACAACAAAAAAGTAAGCTTTTACTTCTTCAGCTTGTTTGTCCTACTTTCCAAACACTTTTATTTTACCTAAGCCAAAATTTTAAGTGAGCTTTTCTGATCAAAATTTGTCCGTTGTCTGTTGTCGTCGTTGGCGTCGTTTGCCGTTATCGTCGTTGTAAACTCTTCACAATTTCATCTTCTTCGAAAAAACTACTAGGTCAATTCCAATCAAAGTTGACACAAAATTTTCTTTGGACAAAAATATTCAACTTTGTTCAAATGAAGGGTTACGCCCCCTTTCAAGGGGAGATACTTACGAAATAGTAAAAAATTAATTGCATCATTAAAAAATGTTCTTCTCAAGAACCAAAGGGACAAAAAGATGAAACCCATGTGAAATCACTGTCAAGCAGTGTAGATGCATGCAGGTGGTGAAGATTCAAGTTTGTTCAAACCATACTCATGTAGTAAAACTATTTGTTGTGTAACCAGAAGGGTTTAAAGATCTTGCCTAATTTTTTTACGACCGCTAAAAAGAAAACTGAACTGAACTCAGTGTATCAATTATGGACTTTGATTCCATGTTTTTTAATTACATTATTATTTTAATATTGGTTACACCCACTTGAGATGAAACCCATGTGAAATCACTGTCAAGCAGTGTAGATGCATGCAGGTGGTGAAGATTCAAGTTTGTTCAAACCATCCTCATGTAGTAAAACTATTTGTTGTGTAACCAGAAGGGTTTAAAGATCTTGCCTAATTCTTTTACGACCGCTAAAAAGAAAACAGAACTGAACTCAGTGTATCAATTATGGACTTTGATTCCATGTTTTTTTTAATTACATTATTATTTTAATATTGGTTACACCCACTTGATTTGAATATTTTTTACTAGATAAAAAGAGATGGGACTCTCATCTCAGAAAGTCAATATCAAACCAGTTTGGAACCAAGAACCTTATTTGAGGGATTCTGTCCTCTTTCGTATAGTGAAGAACCACACTGGATAACAGAGTTCACCTTTAAAATCAGTAACGATGGAACAAGATTCACAGACAACTACAACGTTTACATCTATCAGTCTGACTGCCAGGAGCTTCACAATAGTACGGGACAAATAAACTTTATTCTAAAGGTAATGTTTTTTTTCAAAATAAAAGAAATAAGACAGAGACTTGGTATTAATGTTAATTCATGAATCTCATTTTTCCGGCTGTGTTGATCTTGTTTTAAGTTAGATAATTTTAATTTTTATTTTTTAATCAAACAAGACTACAACAATTAGTCTCTTTTTTCAGAGTGGCTACTGTTTTATCGATGGAAAGTGTTATATAGATGGGGATACAAATAATGAGAATTTATGTGACCTCTGCAATATCACACTGGACAAATATAAATGGTCATTTAACCCAGGTACACTTATATCTTGATGAAAATCGCCATTGATGTTAAGTTATGTGTATGCACTTATGCCCTTCAACTCCATGTTGAACAAATTAATTCAATGGTTAAAAACAGGTTTTCCATATTTATTTTTTATTACGAGAATTTTAAAGGTTATCTTTCCTTGTAATGTGTGTAATTTTAAAAAAAAAGATCACCTGCATTTCCTGTAGGTAGAGTCTCTTTTATATTTTGTTAAAACACACAATGAAGGTTTAGAGGAAAAAAACATCACTTTGAGTGGGAAATGTTGCTAGTTTATATTACACATTGAATTTTTTTTTTATAACAGGGCATTGTTTAATAGACGGAAAGTGTTACGCGGATGGGGCTATAAATGGAACCAATCTTTGCAGTGTCTGTCTCTCCTCTGTGAATACTTTGATCTGGTCTGATAATCCAGGTATTGAAGTCCATGTATCACTTAAAATACTTAACTTTTTAAAAAAAAAATTTGAACGTGAAATTTCTTTCTTAAATATGCGCTATATTTTTTGAATAGGGTACTGCTATATTGAAGACATTTGTTATTTTGATGGTCAGTCAAAAGAATATAACGACTGTTTCATGTGTAACTACACGTTGGGCAGAGAAGTGTGGACATTTGCTGAAGGTTGTTTATTATTCTATTATTCAATCATCCGATTAGAATAAAGTCAAATGATACGAAAGTATATAGTTATTAATTAACTCCATCATGCCGCGGATTTTTAAAGTATTTTAAATTTATTCCATTTCATGCATTTCACTAGATCATTGTATGATTGATGGACAGTGCTTTAAAGCGGGACAAAACCAAACAACCAATGAATGCAAAGTGTGTGACCCTCTTCAAAGTAAAAGTAACTGGACTTTGAGTAAAGGTTAGTAATATTGTTGAAAAACTTAATTCTAAGGACAAAAAACTTAGTTTTGAACTTAATCTTCTTATTCACTGTTCATTTAAAAAGTTTCAATTATTAAACGATCTTTTTGCCATTTTATCATGCCGGGTATTTCTGATCTCATCTTATTTATATTATATCTATATCGATCGTATTTTCTTTAAAGAATACCAAAACTTTCATCATTTTATATTTTATCTTACTTCTTGCTATGCCCGTTTTTAATGTAAATCTACCTATTGTACTATGATTTAAATCTGAGAATATCTTAGAAAAATTATAAGTGGTAAAACTACGTTGTAAAGTTATTCATGAACGTTGTTCTTAAAGTAGGTAACGTAATTCTTTGTAAATAAAAGTAGTAGATTAAAGTTCGCATATTTAATTTTGTAATCATGATTAACTTTCACATATGATGAGATGATATTGAGAATTTTGACGACATTTTTAAAGTGACGCATAAAGTTTTAAGAATTCATTCAAGTGACTCACGGTTGCTGATTTGAGATATATAAGAAGAGTGTGTAACGAAACATTTCTGCAATTTTTAAAAATACCATCATATAATGTTCTGTAATATTCATAAACTGATCAGAGAAAACCCACATTTAATGTGACACAGAACCTCTTGCAAAATCCTTTTATTATAATCAAATATTCAAAAATGTCGCTTTTATATATTAAAAAAATCAATGAAATTCCCTTTCCTCTATGGTTTATGACCAGATATATTGATTTTGCTTCGCATTTCTTTATGATTATGTTTATAAATGTTTTATTTTTTCAATGCATGGTACTAGGGTATTGTATGATTGATGGACAATGTTTTCGGGAGGGACAAAACCATACAACAAAGGAATGTAAATTCTGTGATCCATTTCAGAGCGAAAATAATTGGAGCTTAAGTAAAGGTATATGAATTCAAGAATATGTTAACAATCAATCATAATCTGAAAAAAAAAATGATTTTTTAAAGTAATAATGTCGAAGTCACAATTGATTCCATTGTCTTTAAAAGAATTTGTCAACCGAAGTATGTTTCAATATGCTATATGTAATGATCGAAAGTTTTTACCTTTACGACAAAGAAACATTTGTACGTCAGGACTTTCAGAGGGCTTTCATAAAAACTGCTGCCTTGAGAAAAACAAAATAATTGTGAAGAACTGTGGACGGTTTATGGCCTACTGCTTGAAACCCTTGAATTTATGCGAGGATAGATACTGCTTCGGTTTTTATTAAACACAAAAAAAATAATAAAAAGTCTTAAAAATGCTGATTTAACGCTTCCAGTAGAGTTTAAATTTGAACAAAAGAATTTTTTTTTAATTTATACTTCCTCATATAAAGACTTTTTTTCAGGAAAGCCTGAACCTTGTTTTGCTGATGACGACGAGTATGTAAAGAAAAATCCTTTGCCGCACAGTTAGTATTTGTAACAAACACTTTATTTTAATGTTTTACTTTTGATTAAGATAATTAAAATATTTAAGCAAGTTTCCAGAGTTAAAAATAAAATATATTTACGTTGTTTTGTGTTTCTGCATATTTATTGATTTTATTTTTTCAGAAAAGTGGTTTACAGAAAATACAGTGATCATTGCTGTAGTCTTATTAATTACAATGGCAACCATTGGAGGTCTGCTAGTGTTCTTCCTATATCGGAGGTATGTTCTCTCTAATTAATATCTAATTAGTATTTTTATTTTGAATTTGTAAAAACATGTTCATTTTCCTTTTTCCTTAATAAAACATTGCAAAGTTTATATCATACTTCATTAATTTTCTTCCAGCCTGAAATATTAATGCATCAATTTTCCCAATAATATTTAAGGACTTTTGGAATAAAATGAAAAGTCGGAAAAGCGGAAAAGTCGTGTCAAAATTGTGATAAAGTGATAAAGAGTTGCAAATAAATTTTATTTCAAGTAAATTCTAGTACCATACAAGATAAGTACATGGTTGAAAGTAGTTCAAAGACTATAATTGCAGTTCAGGTACATATAAATTATATAGTTCTTTCAGAATTCAAAATAAGAAAACAAAAAAATATCGTTTTATGATTAAATGTTACTGTATGATACTCAAGAAGTCTAGCCTCTCGACCAGAGTTGCACTTTAAATTTGCAAGAAAAATATCATAAATTAACTATGACACAGGTAAAAGTAAAAAAAGAATCATTTCGCTACTGCAATAAATTTCCATCTAGTGTGTTATAAAAGCAGGTGCGTATTACTTTAGTATTTGCTTTGATAAAAAAATTATACAGAAGGGCCTTTTCGTATTTCAAATTGCCAATGCTTTTGAAAACTCCAACTGGTCATTTTTATTGGTTGAGGTTGAAAAAAAAAATGCTTGATATGTTCCCGGGTTTATAATAAAGCAGCTGTTACAAAACAATATTTAGTAAATGGAAAAATGCAATTTTATGTTTTAAATTTTTTATGTTGTAACTTTTTTTTCCTTTTCAGGAAACATTTCAAAAGATATTGCAATAAATCCGCCATCTATGAGAAACCAGTCCCATGCCAGAAAATGGACAACGATTATGAGACACTACATGTTCAATGGATCAACAAGGAGAATAATTATGTGAAACTTCCAGAGAAATCAGGCGGCTTTACGCTCAATTCAAAATCTACTGATGTTCACACAGTGAGCTAAGAGTGAACATCTGCACTTTTAATAATAACAACATTGTAGATGCAAATCTATAAATAATCATTAAAATTAGCATACATTTCAAAAATATATTTAACCGTGGAAGAAGATATTCAAAGAGTTGTGCGAATATGGATTTAAAGGTTTGCAACAATGACAATGAAGAATGTGCTTTTTTGCAACTATTGCCATAAAATTGATAACTAGTATTTTTCTCATTTAATTACACATTTGCCTGATTTGCTTCGTCATGAACGTCACTGAATATGATTTCAGGAAAAAAAAGTTTCCTTATTTTATAAATAATGAAATTTTTATAAGTGTTCTCTCTATTAAAATAAAAGGCTAAACCCAATTCAAACAACAGTCTTATAATCTTATTGGAATTTCATGTAAGTTAAAATCCAGAGTTTGTCAGGAGAAATCGAAAAGGCTTTATAAATTATAACATGTGCCAAAATTTTGATTTAAAATAGATTAACAATTTGCGATAGACGTAAATGCAATTTCTGCATTTATTCCATTTTTTATTGCTTAAAATCATAGATTTATATGTATTATTAAATATATACATACAGATTTGCATGCTGAAAGAAAACATGAATAATTCAATCATTCTGTGTTATCGGCGTTTCCACCAGATTAAATTCATTGTAAATTTAATGACTGTTATCATTTTATCGTTTCCACAACATCTTTTATATTAAGTAATTTTTATTATGCAGTTTTCATATGATTTGTATATGTTTGATATCATTAAAGTTATTACATTGCTTGCATGCTTTGTGTAGTCATTTGGCTCCTTGTTAATCTATGTCTTATGTTTGACATATTTGTTAGATGTGTATTTTTAATTTTTTATTCCAAAAATCCAGTTTTATTTAAAATGAAAATAAAAAATATGCATTGCGTAATTTGTCAATCTTCTGCAAACGTATTAAAATTAATACTTAGAGTTTTCGTTTCATTTACAGTTTTTCTTTGAATAAAGAAAACAGAATTTTAATAAATTGCTTTTTCAAAATTTTGTCAAAGACTAATGGAATGCACAAGATTTCTAAATGCCGACAAATAAAAAAAGAAACATCACAACCATTGAACCATTGAATTAAAACTTGTACATGTACTCGGTCTCAAGGTCGCTAAGAAGTGATGATTCATTAACGCCTACTTTAAAAACGGAATCCCAATTTTTAAGGTTTCACCCGAAGGGCCTGTGACTTTCACTTTTGAGTGCGTTTTACTATCATCCAAAGGGACTGTCAGTTTGCCTTTTTTACGTCTTAAGTTTGCACCATGGCAGCAAACAAGAATCAAGATCACAAAAGCAACGCCCTTACTACTTTCTTACCCTGACAAATTGTCAGATTTTGAAGTAAAGGTTCTCGAAATAGAGCTATTAATATGCGTGAAAGAGCATTCAACAATTACTTTATTCTCTTGTATTTAATCTAAAAAGTCGTATACATATCTCAAGACCTTTTGATTATATCACAAAGCTGAGTTGCAAAATGAAGTTGAAAAAGATCTTGAGCTTTTAATTTGTACTTTTATATTTGCATATCCTCTGCTCTCTTCCACTATGAACATATATCTATCAACTGCGTTCAGAGGACTATAGACGCACCTGCTTCTGCTATGAGGGCAATTGCTCTAACTCACTCGTGTAGAACAAGCTCTACTACACTTATAAACCGTGTTGAGAAGTATATATATGAAATGTTTCGTAAAAAGACTAAATATAAGTTTTAAATAATATTTTTTGGAAAAAAAGAATTCAGAACAATTTAAAATTGCTGTTTGATATCTTTAAAAATTTAGTTTTGGTCAATGTATTTAATTGTAATATAAAACTTTTTAAAAATTGAATAGAACTCCATATTTTTATTTTTTCGTATCATGCATACTTGTACAAAGAACAATAACTCTTCACACTTGGGTAATAACATTCAGAAAGAGAAAATTTTTTTAAGTAGTAGATCTATATCTATTTCAAGAAAAAATAAATAGAAAAAGTATTTAAAATATCACAGAAAAGCATACTGGAAAATTAAGAGAATGTGATGACGGCGCTGCTTGTATCCAGTGTTTGAGAGGGAAATACTTTCTAAATTGTGATTTATTAGAGAAAAGGAGTATTGATCAGCTGTACTGATTTTAAAGCTGTATGGTTTTCTTTACTGAAGACAGAAGAAGCTGCGTCCTTATGTAAGTCAGGATTTCCTCTGATATTCTTGACAACATCAAAGAATGCAAATATAAGTAATAAACAACGATTATTCAGTGAACACGGCGTAATGAATAGCAATAGCTCCGAGGGCATATTTTCCATGATGCGCTAGCGCGCATCATGGAATATGCCAGCAGAGCAATTGCTATTCATAACGCCATGTTCACTAAATAACGTTGTTTATTTCTTAACTAATTTACCATGCCCATATGTTTTTACATGATTAAGTGTTATGACCTTACAAAAAAAGACACATTCAGCCGGACGAGAGTAACCATTTTGTTCTAGAAGGAAAAAGTGTGCATATTGACTTGACTTTTACAGCAAACACTTTATTCGTATTTTTAAAGAAATGCTGAGAAGGACATTGGAACTAAATAAAAATCTTCCCTGTCCGAAACTCAGTTTTTTCAGTTATAATAACGGTGACAATAAATCAAGGAACTAAGAAAGAAACAGTAAATAATATTTAAACAAGATATATTTTCGTCTTATGATCTACCGTGGGATGAGTAAGAATTATTCTTTTGTGATGTAATTGATGTCAAAAACAGTGTAAATTTTCTTTTGTTCAAAAAATGACCGATTATTGAACAATAAAAAATATGTGGCTAATCACGTTAAAAATAATGTAAAAAATAAGATATAAATAAATAATGAAGCGCGTTTAGGGCCATAGTTCATGTCTTCCTGAGTTCTTAAATATTTTATTCACCATTTTAATTATTACATTTGACGGGTTGTATTTGACATCGATATTATTAATACATGTACCACGTTGTTCTAAAAATATATTGATTGGTTGATTGATTTTATATTGTTTAACGCCCCTCTAGGGAATTTTTCATCCATATGACGACGCCACCACTTGCCGATGAATATCTTTCAAAATTTTGTCTTTTTTTTAGTCATCAATTCAAAAGATATTGTAATATATAAATGCATCATCTATGAGAAATCAGTTCCATGCCAGAAAGCTGACAACGATTTAGAGACAGTAAATGTAAAATTCATAAAGAAGGAGAACGATAACATGAAACTTCCTGAGAAATCAGCCGACTTCATGTTCTCATCAAAATATATGGGTGTCTATACCGTGGGATAGGAGTTAAAATCTGCAACTACACTCTATGCCTTAAAATTTGCATAATCATAAAAATTTATATATTCAGCTTTACAAGTAAATATCTAAGGAGTCATACAAAGATTTTTAGGAACATAGATTTAAATGTCTGTAACAATGAAGTTGACGAACCTTTTTTTAAAATTGGTCATGATTTATTTTCACGAAAAACATTTTCCACAATTTCAATAATTATGAAAATATATCAGGTATTTCTCTGAAAAAAAAATCAACTAAATTCTAACAAAAATCATAATTTTTCTAGGATTTGACAGTTTGCCATCTGAAAACCGAAAAATGAAATTCTTATCAAAATCATAGAATATATAATATTTCTATGGATTTAACAATTTGGATTAAAAGCAAATAAAATGCACCAATGCAGTGAGTCCAAAATTTGTTTATGTAGTTTGTGAATGTACATTTTTATTCATAATGTATCATAATCGTTCATGAATTCACTTTTTTCAGGTACAGAGAGTATTTTCCTGCAATAGTTATCGTTCATTGAACGAAAACTCTCGAGAGTAGAAGAGAACAATACTTGCAGTAGATCAAGTCACAATTGCCTTGCACGGTCACAAAAATGGTCATTGTTTTTTCAGAGTGTAATGAGTCCAATGTTTTTTGTAACATTAAAATTTTAAGTAAATTTGAGAGAGGTACTGATTTGAAAATTATTGCTTGTTTTGCCATTGGTATATTAATCAATTTATCGCATGAATATTCGGGAAACGTGAAGATTTATTCATCCAAGATATATCATGATTTCTGGGCTGAATGAATCTTCATTTTTCACTCACGATCTTGCAGAAATGTAGAAAACCACATATATTCGTGAGTTCATATTTGAAAAAGAAATATTGTTATGTGGGAATTTGATTTCTTGGGTTAGAAAAGTGTTAAGTGGTATCATAAATAAAATTTGACATATGAAGGTGGTCAGGAATTCAAGGGCCTCTATTTTTCTTCTCTCATTGAATATTAATCCCACGCGAAAATTAATGACTTCAAGTATTTCTGAGTTCTTTTTAAAAAGCGTTTCTATAAAGTCATAAATTATATATATAAACATTGAAACGCTGTACCAAAACAAACTAATTAAGTTTAATCTTTAAAATATAATACTCAGATTTTATGCTCATGTATTCGTTCGAGGAGTCAATAAAACAATAAAATGTGATCATAACGAACAATATTCAAGCTTAAAATCCATTTAAACAATATAGAAGGTACCAGATCAAACACAGTTACCCCAAACATCAGAGGTTTGACTAGGTGCCATGGAGGAGTGAATATCCAAAAAGTTGGATGTGCTGTTTCATGATAGAAGGAAAGCGAGAAAATAAATAGACAATGCAATTAAAAGATAATGACCCAACAAAACATATAAAAAATACCCATCAACATTTGTATTAATGATATATTATATTTCCTGATAAAATCATTGTAATAAGCAAAAAGATGACTTCAAAGAAACTGTTGAAATCCTTGTTTCATCAATTCGTTTTGTGTTTTAGAAATTACTCTTCGTTTCTTGGGAAAAATAAAAAAAGTTTTAATCAATAGAGATACCGTTTTCATAAGGTCATTGATCAGAAAGAAATAACTCAAAAAATATAGAATATTTATATTTCCTTCACAATTAGCTCAGTTATTCGTCCTGTTTTCGGAACTGTGTTTTTTTTCTAACGAATACATAAACACATTGAAAATTGTATTTTCCTTTAAATGCTAACTGTGACGTCAGTTACATGTACTTGTCCATTTTC